GGGCGGGCCGCGCCGCGCTCGCCGCGCTCCGGGGCCCGAGGCCGCCGCTGTTCGCGCTCCCCGCAGGCCCCGCCGGGACCCCGATGTGAGCGGCGGGCGGGCACGGGCGGCCCGGGCACCGCCACCCGCCGGGGCTCCGCGGGAAGATGACATCGCGGAGGTGAGGCGGGCAGGGGGAGCGCAGGGGCCGCTGAGCCTCGGGGAGCCTCCGCCACCGCGCCCGGGGGGCTGCGGGCACGGGGGGGCTCCCCACGGACGGGCGGGACCCCCGGGACACGCTCCGGCGGCGCCCACCCTGCTCGCTCCCGGGGGGATGTCCCTGCTCCCGCACCCCCCCCCCCCCACCCCCCCCATTCTCGGCGGGATGCCCCCCCCCCCGGCCCCCTCGCGGGGAGATCCCCCTGCTCCTGCACCTCCCACCTCTCCCGTTCCCGGGGGGTTCCCCCGCTCCTGCACCCCCACCCCCGCCCGTTGACGGGGGGATGTCCCGGGGGAAGGCGAGGCGTCCGTGTGGCTTCGGTGGCCGAAGCTGCCCCGGTCCCACCGATTTCGGGGGTTCAGAGGGGTCTCCCCACGTTTCCGTGAGTTGAGAGATAAATTCATTGTGTGTGGCACCCACCCAGTGCCGGGGCCGGGGGGACTCGTGTTGCCGTCACGGGACCGGCACTGGGGACTTCTCGACCCTCAAAGGTGACTGAGCTGTACAATGAGTGTTCCTGAGCCCCCTCCCTGGGCTCCTCATTTTTCATCAGCGCTCACGTTAATTTCAAAACCCTGTGGAGCTGAAAACGATGATGATAAACAGCTTTTTTTGTTATAGTTTCTCACTGTCCATAAGGTAATTTGGTGTTTGTCTGGCAGTAAGTGTCCTTCGGGGCTGAGAGGTTTAGGTGAACGTTAGACTTGAGAGGAATTACTGTCATAGAAAGGTGTATAAACATCTTTGTCCTTTTTAATACCTATTCTGAGATTCACAGAACCACTGAGTGGTTTGGGTTGGAAGGGACCTTAAAGCTCATCCCATTCCACCCCTTGCCATGGGGGTTTCCACTACACCAGCTTGTTCCAAACCCCCTTAAACACTTCCAGGGATGGGGCAGCCACAACTTCAATTGATTCACATCTTGAATTCACCTCTATTAATAAGTAATACCTACTAAACTCTAATTTCTTCATGGTGACTTGTCCTCTTTCTTGTCCTACTTAAGAAGGTGGATCTGTATGGGTCGGGTTAAAGCGTGGCCATTTATAGTTGGATTTGGGGTTTTTTGGGTGTTTGTAGGATCTCCAGTGCATGTTGGGTGTTCTGGATGGCCCTGCTGACAACTTGTATCCTTCCTGGGAGAACAAGGATACAAGTTACCTTTTGGAAACACTTTTGGAAACACTGCTTCTGCTCAAGCTTGAAATTGTGACTTGTGAGGGAGACTGAAAAAAAGCTGAGAAATATCAACTGATAAGCCTAAAAATAGGAGTAATTAACCCACCCATCAGTGCCTCCCGAGTGCTGGGGTTGTGACAGCTGAGACAGGACTGATTTCATCTCTCCTGCTCTTGAAAAGGTGATTAGAAAAACCCAATCCCAGCATGGAAAATTGTATTGATTTCTCTCTTCATTTGGTAAGAGGGAAATGTGCTGGCAGTGTGGGACTTGGAGAGTACAGATCCTGCTGGTCTTCTCTGGACCACGATTACAAAAAAAGGGATAGTTGTGGGAAGGCTGGATTTCCTACCATGAATTTTTTTTCATCAGAAGGTTCCTTGCTTAGCTGATGCCCCTGAGTTTTGTAAATGAGACCCTGCTCTTTTACCAGCTTTGTAAATTAATGAGGGACTGGGAATGGTGTGTTCTGACCCCTGACTTGGAATTGCTACTGGGAATGATGGTGAGGAGCCAGTTTAATCAGAGTGTGGGTTTGTGTGTGTTGTGTTACTCCTGTGATTGTATTTACTGCCCTTGGCTGGGAGAGCTCTGCACCTGCTGCTGGGAGAGACTGGAGAGGGAAAGCAGGATAAAAAGCCCAAAATACATTCCATCCCTATAAAAGGAAGTGCAGGAGAAGGTCCCGGCTGGGGGTTGTGTTACTGGGGGGTGTGTGCTCTCTCCTCCAGTTTTTTTTTTTTGGAAGGGATGCAGCCCAAGGTTCAAAGGACACATGTGGTGGCAGCACTTCAAATGCAGATCCTGGTCCCGGGGCCGGAACCGCCGAGCAGGGATCACTGACACCCCCATTTTTCTATTTGGGGTGCCTGACAAATGCACCTTCCTACTCAAAGCCAAAAATACAGAGATGAGGGAGCAGGAGGACAAGTTGCCATCAGAACCAAAGTTATATAAAGTGCAATAAAACCTATCACCCTCCCAGGTGGAGCTTGGCTTTGCTACTTGGCTTTGGCATCTTCAGTAGGAATTGCTTTGTGTTTGGGGGTGAGATTTGGGGTTTTACACAGTGTATCATCTTTTTAACCTCTCCTTTAAATACTTGTTAAATAACAAGTTATTTGTAGTCCCCTCTGTGCATTAAAGTATTATTTTTCTGGTTTTTCACATGTTTTTAACAGCTCGTGTACACTTACTTCCAGATGCATTAGAATTTATAAGACACAGAAGATACTCTATTAATAAAAGTTTATGGAATGTCACCATATAATAACCTGGAGAACTAATTCCAATAATTCCTCCTTTGTATGTTTATATATTTTTTGATATGAACTCAAAAACTTGCAAAGATTTCTCTTGAATCCAATGCATATTTAGAAAGCTTGTGAACTGTTCAAAATGTTGCTGCACTTTTTTTGTGTAGATTGTTTTTGTTTTCTCCTAATGAAAATAAAATTTTGGGAATGGAAGTGTTGTAAATATATTGTCAGCTATTACCTGTCATGCTGAGATATATTATTTAATGTTCAGTTCACTCCAGGTACTGATGCTTGTGTGGTTTGGTTTTTGACACTGCATCAAACCAGACCTTTTCTTGACCTTTGAATAGTCATTAGATATATGTAGCATTATTAATTAATTCATCCCCACTTGCTGTGATAACTTGGAAGTATTTTAATATTTTCTCCTGTCCCATGCTGCATGGTTTTGATTTTCTTGTTGTTTTTCAGTGAAAAATAGGGAGTTTTCACTAGATTTTTTTGGTGTAAGCAGAATGTTATTAACTAGGCAAAAAAGCAAGGTGAACAAGAAGAATCATTTACTTAATAAATATAATTAATTAATAATATTCTAGAATCTCTAAAACTCTTCAGAATGTTTCCACGAGAATCCATTTCTGAAGAGAACAGGCTGGATGAAGCCTTGGTGGGAATATTGTCAGCTTTTCAGTAGAGAAGGAATTGCTGAAGCAATTGAATTAATAGTCCTAAATTTAGATTTGCACTCTCATATTTTGCTGATTTAGCAATTTAGCATGAAATGCTGACTGGATCAGGAAGGCTCAGGAATGCTATGGAATTTTTTGTAGCTGTAACACTCCTATATCTGTAAAGAGACTGGTTGTGGAATCTTCTGTGTTACTTTGGAGAAGCCAAAACTTTCTGGTACCAACAGCAGCGGCCTCAGTTCTTCCTGCTCAGTAGAAGGAGATAAAGGAAAAGGGATGAGAATTTTCCTGATTTAATTCTGAAAATTAAAGGTGGTCTCATAATTGCCAAATACAATTGTGACAAAGCCTTTCATCCAGAGCACAGGGATGTTGTTTAGTGCTCCAGGAGCGTAATAAAACTTGGGAATTCCAGCTAAGAGCAAAGGCAGGTGTGTTATGGAACGGCTCCGGATGAGTCTGTCCGAAGTTAATGCCAGAGGTGGGACATGGATCCTCTTGGCCACAGCCCAGATCCAGCCTTGGCTCTGTGTTAGTCATTCAGGGCCCTTTGTGGGTGGTGAAGATCAATCTGAGATTCCTCTGGGGTTGTATTTAAGTGGGATTTATCCGACCCCAGCACCGCATTCTTTGGAGAAGGTGGAAGGAGAGTAGGTTGTCCTCAAGTGGAGTTGCTTCCTGACCCCTCTCAGCCTGTGCCCTAAAACATGAGGTTTTGTTGCATTTTTAACCTTTAAAATGTTGTCAAGTGGCACTTGGGATGTTTTGTTTTATTTTTAGGTATTTTTCCTGTTTGTCTCTGAGTTTCTTTGTGTGTCATGTCTTCCTGGAGTAAGGAAATAGGACTTCTGGTCTGTGTTTATGTTGTGTGTCTTTGATACCATTTTAACCCAGTATGTATGAATGGAGTTCTTTCCCTTTCAGAGCTTCTCTTGCCAATACATAAAATTGCAATGCAATATGAAACAAATAATGAATGGAGATTTTTATTAATTTAGCACCAAAATTCAGCCCTTCCTCATTTTGAAGCCGTTTGATTGCTCTGTTTAATCCTGTGGAAGTTAACTCTGAAAACCAGAAGATCTTCTGTTTATTTATTAAGATTCTTTATTTTTAATCTCTTTTAGATGGTTTCATCCAAATATTACTGGGGTGGAGGCAGAAAACCTGCTGTTAACAAGAGGGGTGGATGGCAGCTTCCTGGCACGGCCCAGCAAAAGTAACCCAGGAGACTTTACCCTCTCTGTCAGGTGAGTTGAAATATTTTCACTCCTTCTCCCCAGATTGATAAAAGTCTTCATTTAATGCTGTTCTGCAGGGAAAAAGTTGTGGATGAACTACTTGTAAGAGGTGAAATAATGAGCAAATCACTTTTTAGTGCTCACTTTTCCCTCTTCTTTTCCTCCCATTTTCCCTGCCGAGGTTCTCAAATTTTACCCAACTTGGGGAAACTATAGATTGGAGGGGAGTGAATTCTGGTTTTAGAGGGACAAAAAGGTTCAGGGGAAGCAGAAGTAGGTTGATAACAGCATTACTTTTAGCCCTTTAAAAATCTGTTTGATAACCATCTGGAAGCAGCAGAGATGATGGGAATTAGGGATCAAGCACATGCAGGAAATGCTCTCCAGCCTCTCCTTGTACAGGAAAAGTCAGCAAGTTTTTGAGGGCAACTGTGATGCTTTTTCAGCTTCCAAAATAGGCCTTTTGTGCCAGTTGTCCCCTGTGTGTCCAGTGGTGGGGATGGGGAAAGGACAGCAAGAGGAAGTAGATAAAGGAAAAGGGAAAAGTGGGATTGGTGATAAGAATTCTGGTGCTTGGCTGCTTCTGAGATAACAGGCCTTGAGGCACAGGAGGGGAATCCTGCAGGGAGCTGTTCTTCCTTAATATTGGAGACTGTGGGAGCAAAACTGTTTACTGAGGAGGGACCTCAGGAGCTGCTGGGAAGTTCTGGGAAAGGAGCAAACCAGCTCTGATGGGTCTCTTTGAATGCTGAATTCTGACCCCTCCACCCTTGTGCTTGTATGAGCAATTTTGGGGCCTTGAGGGGTTCCTAATGGAGATTGTGAGGCTGCAGAGCTTACACTGGCTTCAAGGATCCCTTCAGTACGATGTTTTTTCCTATTTTTCCTGGCTGCTGGACAGACAAGCCACTGCAATGTGTCTGAAGTGACTTCAGAGGGGCACTAACTCTGCTCCTCTGCCATATTCAGTTGCAAAGTGCTGCAAATGTGAGTATGGATTTCTCCAGCTCAGGCAGCAGAACACTAAATATAAAAGGGATTGATTGGCCATCAGCTGATTTGTGTTTTTTTTTCCCTGTGTTTCCAATACCAGACGAACTGGAGCCGTGACCCACATCAAGATCCAGAACACAGGGGACTACTATGACCTGTACGGGGGAGAGAAGTTTGCCACGCTGGCTGAGCTGGTCCAGTACTACATGGAACACCATGGGCAGCTCAAGGAGAAGAATGGAGATGTCATAGAGTTGAAATATCCACTGAATTGTGCTGATCCTACATCAGAAAGGTCAGAGAAGGGGTGGTGGAACCTCAGTGTCCACCTGTTTCTTAATAATTGCCCTTTGTCTTTCCTAACACTGCAGCCAGTTTTAATTTGAGGAAAGGGTGGCCCCAGTCTTGGAGTAATTTCTGGGAGATTCCTTGCAAAGTGGGTTAATAAACATGGCTAAAGGTGAAGCAATTTAAGCCTCAGAACCTGTTTCCTTCAACATTCTTCCTTTTGTGATACAAGACCTAAAAGGAGGGAATAATTCCCTTTATTTTAACTTTGAGAATGTTTTATTGTAGAAGTTGGAATGATAAGCAGGGTCTCTCTCTATATATGTTTATTTAAAGGTGGTTTCATGGACATCTCTCTGGAAGAGAAGCTGAAAAGCTCTTAACAGAGAAAGGAAAACATGGAAGTTTCCTTGTGCGGGAGAGCCAGAGCCACCCTGGGGACTTTGTCCTCTCTGTGAGGACAGGAGATGATAAAGGAGAGAGCAATGATGGCAAATCCAAGGTGACACATGTCATGATCCACTGCCAGGTATGGAAATCACAGGCTCCTTTAGCAGAGAATTCCATGGGCTGTGGGATTTAAACAGGAGGTTCACCTTCCACCTCCCCACGGATTGCTGGATCCATCCCTCTTTCCCTGTGGATGACACAGATCAGGTGTTTGATCCAATGGACTCATTTGACAGCACCAAATTCCATCAGGGGTTGTTTTATGTCATTTTCTTTTACTTCTGTTATACCAGAAGACAGTGCAACAACTTAATTGTATTGAAACAACTAAGCTGCAATAACTGAAATAGTTTGGAGGCAGAAATGGCCTACAAGGACCATGTAAAAACTAAACTATCAGAATACTTTTTTTTTAAGAAACCCTCTTTGATTTGCAGTTGACTAGTAGTAGCATTTATGACACTGAGGAAAATAACTTGGCATTGCTTCCTTAAAATAGGCAGGTGCCAGGCAGTACCAGCCTTTCAGGGCACATTTAGCTTTGGAAATCAGTTCAAATTCCTAATTCCTGGATTCTCATCCTGTAGTTCCAGTATCTTGAGCTGACTGAACCCCAGATAAACTGATTTTCAATGAGATGACCAAAAGGTTCATGCCCTCCATCGTGTGTGTGTGTTTCTGTTATTGAGGTTCTGCCATCCCTTGGAAGGATTTTATTAGTCTTCTACGTCTGGTTGAAAGACAATTTCTGCTATGATGCACAGCCCAAAGGTGCTGTCAGTGCAGGTGTCACGGTGGGAAGTGCATTTGTTTTGATGAGCATCTGTCTTTGAAGGAGCTGAAATACGACGTTGGTGGAGGGGAGAAGTTCGACTCTCTGACAGACCTGGTGGAACATTACAAGAAGAACCCCATGGTGGAGACTTTGGGCACAGTGTTGCAGCTCAAACAGGTGAGTGAATGGAGAAGACACACCAGAGCTCTGCTACCTTCAGAATATATTGTGGAAGTGCAGCTTTTCCATATGCAAGGTCCATATGCAAGACCTTTTCTTTCCTGTTGCAAAAATGCAGAATTAAACTTCATGAAACAAAGTAATTTAAATGGGAAGCAACTTCCCTTACACCTGCAAAGGGATAAACTTGTCTCTGATGTGTCAGAACTTCCCACTGTCATTGTGCTCCACAGGGATTGCAGGGAGAGTCCAGAAATGAGGGACTTAATGTATTAAGTAAAAACTATGATTCTAAAAGCACTTGCTCACTGTCCCTTCCTCGCTGCCCCTCATTGCGTGAACTCCAAAGTTTTGAAGTCAAAGAGGTGCTTGGATCCAAGAATTCTTGGATAAAACATCATTAGCTTAGAGGATTGTGTTTTAGTTGTCTTCTCACAGTAGCTGTTTGTTAAGCCTCTGCTGTCTGTGTCTCTCAGCCCCTGAACACGACCCGAATTAACGCTGCCGAGATCGAGAGCCGCGTGCGGGAGCTCAGCAAACTGGCCGAGACCACGGACAAAGTCAAGCAGGGCTTCTGGGAGGAGTTTGAGGTACTTCAGTGCATTCCAAGGGTTATGGGATTAAATCTACACTACTAAAAGCTAAGATTTTCTAGGGTTTTTTAGGTTTGTTACTGCCTTCCTGGCAGGGGGTGGAATGAGATGAGCTTTAAGGTCCCTTCCAAAGAGTTCATCTTATCCCTGCCATGGGCAGGGACACCTTCCACTAGCCCAGGTTACTCCAAGCCCCATCCAACCCGTCCTGGAACACTCCAGGGTCTGTATCATGGACTGGTTTATACCACACACACACATAAGGAAGCCACCGGTGGAGTCTGGAATTCCACCAGCAGATGGCAACAGGAAACTGGGAAGTGCTGGGCTGTGCCAGAGGCTGGTTTGGTCTGTGATGCTGTTTGGAGAAACTTCTTGAATAGTGATGGGTTTGCAAAGCAACCCTTCTTGGAGAAACTTCTTTTGGATCAGAGATATCCATTAGCTGAATGTGCTGACCAGTGTGCTCTGAGATTATTGTCAGGAAGGGGGAAAGGAATCCGTGAAAAGTGAAGAGTTACCAAAGGGGTAACACATTTCACTACGAGTATGGATGGAGTATCAGAAGGTGAACTTGTGGCACTGGGAAATGATAAAATGAGGATTAAGCTTCCTCCTCTCCCCATGTGCCCAGTGTGGAGGGACAGTCCTTGAGCCAGGGCTGCTGAATGGTCAGAATGGTCACAATTCCTGCTCTGGCCACTGCTGGGCCTTGAGCCTCTGCTTTCTCCTGACAGTGGGATGGGGGATCCCATGGGAGCAGTTCTCATCCACTGCTTGTGAGCTTTGCCTGGAGGTAAATTAGCCTCAGCCTCTGAGTTGCTTTCCTTGCAGAATTCAACACATGAACTTGGACCTGGAAGGTTGGGAAGATTGAGTGGACTTCCATATGGGAATTACCTGCTTTGGCCGAGTGATTAGTGTGTGTTCTGTCATATCACGACACAGGCACAGACATTGTGCCTGTGGTTGCTGTGGAGTTTAGCCCAACATTTCCAAATTAGCCAAGCAAAGGGTGCCTGTTGGCTTTCATGAAGTCTTAAGCATGTCTTAAGTCTTGCTCTTATTCAGAGGGCATAAAAAAGGAAAAAATGTGCCCAGTTGTCTTCTCCTTGTAATTGGTGCTGACTCCCTGGGAGCTCTGAATTAATGAGGGGGGTTCTCTTGTGTGATGAGTTCAGGAAGGGATTGTTGCTCTATTAAATATAACTGAGCTATTAATTCACAGTTAGGACTTTCCTGACCTCTGGTGTTGAATAACTTTGTCTTGTAATGGATTTATCAGTGGGTCCTTAAAAGCCAGGAAAAGTCTTACAGGAAAAGTAAATGGAAGAAATTAAAGCTTTTACCTGTGAGACTTTGCTCTCCCCTTTCCCCTTCACTGCTGTTAGTGAGGTCAGCACTAAAACTTGGGTTTTTTTGGAAATGAAACAATCTCCTGGCAGTTTTAGTGCTATCCTTTTCCACTCACCTCAGGGAAGCTCCAGCTGTCCACCTTGGTGGCTGGAGGCGGGGAGCAAACTCCAGGTTGCCTGTGGATCTCTGTCTGTGCTGTTTATGAGCTGCCAGCCCAGATGGTGGTTATAAATTACTTGTCTTCAGGCAAGAATGTACCTCTTGTCCCGTGAACCAGCAGACAGAAATGTTGACAGTCCTTGTAATGTTTTTCCTTCTGAAAAATGGTTATTTGGGGAGCTTTGTGCTTGCGTGTTGCAGTGGAATCAAGGAGGATGTTGCAGATTGATGGTTGCATTGTGTACATCCCTTAATGGGCTTGTTAGGAGTCGCTGCTGCTCATGGATCTCTCCTCAGGGAGGCTCCAAGCAATAATAATTAACTCTGTGAAGGAAGATGGGTTTGAAACTGTGGTTTCCACACACTTAATTGCTTCAATTTTTTAACCTGCTGAAAAGTTTAGCTTTTGCTTAGATTCCACAACAAATGCTTTATAGGGATGTGCTTTCTGTCTTTTGCTTCACAAGTGTAAAATTTTGCATCTCTTATATTCTTTTGTCTTTGGGATGTGCCTAATTGTCCAAGGTCATTAAGTGAGGTAGCAACAACAACAGGGACTGAAACAGGAGTGAGCAAATGTGCCTGACATGGCCAAGCTTTAAGTAAAAGAAATGCTTGGGAGAGTCTTAAGAGTGGGAATAACCAGGGGAGCAGCTTCTAGAGCCTGAATGTTCCTTTTAGTCAGGCCAGTGCTGCTTTGGGATTAAAACTTGGAGCTAAGCTTCATTGAAATAGGGAGAAATACCACTAAGGAGCATGGCTGGAAAAGTATGGAATTGCTGTTGTCCCTGTCACATTAATTGTGCACCAGGAACTGAGAAACGAGCTCCTTCCTTGCGGGAGAAACCCTCGCTCGGGTGTGTTTCTGGACTGGAAGGATTTATGGAAAACCCTGTTTGTACTTACCTAATTCCCCCTTTCTCTGGGAGAAGAGATTGCTGGGATGGTGGTGAACAGTCCATCCTGCTTTTATTGAGCCAGGTCTCTGTGCTGTTTCCCTTCAGACTCTGCAGCAGCAGGAATGCAAACTCCTCTACAGCCGTAAGGAAGGGCAGCGCCAGGAGAACAAGAACAAAAATAGATACAAAAACATCCTACCCTGTAAGTATTGATTTGTCTTTGTCACCTCAGCCTGCTGCCCTTCTAGGCTTTATTTTCTTAACTCCCAAACACAGGGTTAATTAAGCACCACTGGGCTTTTGCTTCTCTTTAATGATAATTTCCCCCTTTATGTTGTCAGAAGGAGCCCCTGCGATTTCCAGTTTGTGTTCCAACACTTGCACTTTGTAGATATCCGTATTTCCATCCCCAATTGTTGGGTTTTTTTTTATCTTTAGCTTTCATTTCAAAGCCTCCCATCCCCTAAACTGTTATTCAACGAGCTGAAATACTTAAATTTAAGAGGATTAATTTGTTGGACAAAACTGCAATGTGCAAATCCAGAGGCTGTTTGACTGTCCACGTGCTCCTGAGTTACCAGGGGACATGGAGCCTTGTTTTGGTTGAGCTTGTCATGGCAAGAAATGGCAAAAGAGGAAGTCTGGAATATTCTAATCACTAATTTACCGAGTTTGACAACTTAAAGGCTTCTGTGTGTTCACAAGTGTAGGATGCAAGTGCTTAACATCCATATATATTCTTCTAGTTGATCACACCAGAGTTGTTCTCCACGATGGGGATCCCAATGAACCTGTTTCAGACTATATCAATGCTAATATTATTATGGTGAGTATATTCCCACCTCCAGGAGCCTTCTTGGCACATCCCATATCTCTTTATCATATTCACCTAAATCCAGGTGAGTCTTGTCACCACTTGCTGAATTGTTGTTTTTTTTTTTCTCTCTAGCCTGAGTTTGAAACCAAGTGCAACAACTCAAAGCCAAAAAAAAGCTACATTGCTACTCAAGGTTGCCTACAGAACACAGTGAATGATTTCTGGAGAATGGTGTTCCAGGAGAATTCCAGAGTTATTGTTATGACCACAAAAGAAGTGGAAAGAGGAAAGGTAAAATCAGGCTCTAACTGGCCTTGGGAAAGGTCATGGCATTTGAGGGCAAGTAAGGACTAAAGTGACTGGGATAAATTGATTTACATCTGGAATCTGGTGTGCCACCAGATTCTTTGGAGCTCTGGAAGGTGCTGAGTGTCCTTTTTCTATTGGTGCCTGTGGGAATTGAGGATATCCTCCTGTCATACCATCAGGCCTCCCTTTTCTAAGGGTTGACTGATTTAATTTTATCTACTGAATGTGAATCTGTATATTTTAAACTTGTTCAGGGAGTGAGGCACTGGAATGTGAGATGGAGCCAGGCAGGAATTCTGTGTGCTTGGAGGGGTAAACTCCGTCCTCCTGTAACAAAGGTCTTGCCATTTATTTCAGCTGATCAAGCCTGGATAGACTTCACTGGAAAAACAGAATTATGGGGCTTTTTTATTACAAGATGAACAGAGATGATGTTTCTTACCTAAAAACCACAATATCATGTGAGAGTTGTTGCCCCACATTCATCTTATTCAGGTCACGTTACTCCAGTGCTGTTCCCTCTTCTGACTCAACTTTCTAGACTGGAAAACTTTATTACTCTGTGCTGAGCTGGTGATTCCAGCTGGAAATGCCTGATTGGAATCCCCAGCCAGGTGGGATTTAGCACTTTTATTCCTGAGTCAGGTGCTTTGCCTGCCCTGTTCTGCATGGACACAGCTTCCTGTCCACCCCCCTGGGAGCTGCTCTGGCAGGATTTAATGCTCTCAAAACCAAAACTTTCCTGCAGTGGTTTATCCCAAGAACCTCCCTTTACCTTTGATCTTGTCTAGCTCCCTGTCCTCTGCCAAACCTGAGGTTTTTACTTTGTTTCTGGCTCCTAAACACATGTGGCAGGAAAGAATAGGAAATAGTTGAACACTGATATCCTGGCAACACTCGCACACAGCTTCCTGTGTATTGTATGGATTTATCTTTGGAATTTGGTGCTTCTGATCCTTTTTCTGTTTGATAAACACTTTCTGCTCTCTCTCTCTTTTTTTTAATTTTCTATGCTTCTGCCATCACCATTGTCCAGCTTTTTTTTTTTTTTCCCTATTTCATGATTTGGTTCTGAATGGAAAGCTGGTACCTTGTTAGGGGAGCACCACTTGAGAAAAATATCAAATTAAAAGTGCAGGGAAGTTTTCCTAGGGGTGAGTGATAATTGCAGGGGTTCCTCACCCCTGTTACAAGAACAAGCTTTGTGTATATGGACTGAAGACAAATAGTGGATTTTATGGGCTTCTCCCCCCAGTTGGGGTGTCAAAGCTGCCTTTATTTGGTCTAGACTTTGTCTTGTGGATCTTTTTTTTAGCCTTTTAAAATTCTGCCCATTCATTCCCCTTATAAAGGGACAGAATTTGTGTTTCCTTCCTGAGAATGCACTGAAGGAGGGAGAAGCTCCCCCTTTCCAGTGACATCCCTCTTAGTTCTTTGTTTGGGTAGAAAAAAAAATGGGGTTGTTTTGGAAGAGTTACCTTCAGTACACCTCTCTTTTCTTCAAGTCATTTATTATTTTTTTAATAACCTCCTGAATGGCCTTTTCTCCTCTGCAGTTTCTCCATTATTCTTCCCAAAGTTTGCTGGAAAAAAACACTTCAATGCCTGATCACTCCATCAGTGCTGCATTGATGATTTTTTCTCTACCCTTTATTGTTTTTTGCTGCATATTTCACTTCTTAAAGAATTGCAAATAACAGCCCTGACAGAAAAGCAAAGCTTTTTTATCTCAGGCCAAGATTTGAGACCTGCAGGAAGGAGAACTCTCTGCACCAGAGCTGAATTTCAGGAGCACATTGCCCAAGGAAAGGAGGAACTGGGAGACATCTCAGCTCTGCAGCGAGTTCTGCAGAAACAGCAAATACTTACAAATTAAAATAGTGGGGTTTTGGAGCCAATCCATGGAGCCAGTAATAAATGCAACCCCTCTGGCAGAATAAAGCTAATTTTAACATCATGTCACTGTTCAGACTTGCTCTACCAACTGCTCTCGTGTTCAGAGCTCTGTGTTGAAACTGCAAGTTATTTATGTTGGAACCCACCAAGAGCAACATCTTTTCTTTAGTTTCTACCCTTATGACAGGGAAAGAAGGGCAAAAATAACACAAAAGCAGCTTGTTGCCTAAATAGGCTGCAAATTGTGTTTTCAACCATCTTCCTCTATCTTGGGTTGGCAGAAGAAACTTCCTTGTGTCGTGTTTTCTCATAAATATGCAGGAGGAGCTGCAAATAGACAATATTTCTCTGTAGGACTTGGTGTTTGGGCTGTGTTTGCTGTTGCTGGAAGCTGCACCTGCTATAATTTCTCATTTCATGCTGCATTCCCTGGAGTTGCTCTTTCCTGACCTGTCACAGGAACCAAATCCAAGTGGCCATAGGTGAATCCATCCCTCAGTGGATGGAATATATCCCTGGCCAGAGATAATCTGGATGGAGAAGCAGAACACCAGAAGCCACAGACACACGAGGCTTCAGTGCCCTGCACAGGGAGCAGTTCCCTGGGGATTGAATTAGAGCTGTGTTAGTCCTTCCTGCTCCAAGGCATGGAAAAGCAAGCATCCAAGTTGAATTTCTGCTAAAAATGGTTTACTTGTATTTATTTTTCAGCCAGGTGGGTTTTGTTTGTAGGATAACCTGTAAGGCTGCAGCTTTCTGCTGGGAATTCAGTGTTTTGAAACCTGTAGCTGGGTGGAGATACAATATTTTAATCTTCAGGTTTTGAAAATATCCAGGCAGAACAGGTTCTAATATGATCACAAAAGCTGATAAGAGGAGAAATTGCCTGTACCTGTTTGAAATAATCCAGTGGTTGTTATGGAGAAGAGAAACTTCCCCCTAAAATGCACTTTACCTTGTCAGCAGTTGGTGGGAGGAATTGTCCTCTGTGTGTTCTGAAATTAAAGCTCCAGAAATATGTTAAGCAGTTTGCAAAACAGCCTTTTTTTTCTGGCTGATTATTCCATTTTTGCTGTTTTTTGGTTTTAAATCTTGCAGAGTAAATGTGTCAAGTACTGGCCTGATGAATATTCCCTGAAGGAATACGGGGTGATGCGTGTCCGGAATGTTAAGGAGAGCGCAGCACATGATTACACGCTAAGAGAACTTAAACTTTCTAAGGTTGGGCAGGTAAGTGTGAGAATAACTCTGTCCTTTCAGTGTAGGTTGCAGATCCCCCCCAAAATTGGCACAAATCGACCCTTTCTTTGGAATCAATAAAAGCACCAAGAGATTAATAAATTGAGCCCTGTCTTTCTTTGAAGCTCCACGTTTAGTTCCATCCATCTTTCTCTTTGTCCTTGGGATAATTGAGGATTCTTCTACCTAAGCAGTTTTTGGCAGGAGATGCTCTGCTGCAGAGCTTGGAGGGAATGTGTAAAGAGGGACGGTGCTTTTAACTAATCACACTTCAGTCCAGCCAGGAATTTGTTCCCTCTCATGGAGGTGGTTGCACCAGAAGAAAAGGTTGTGTGTGGGTCCAGTGTGTAGGAAGTTCACTTAAAGGAAGGATAAAAAGGTGAGGAAGGAAACAGTTAGTGTGGAATTAGAGTTGTTAAGGAACAATTTGGATCAGGGAGCAGAACAAACCATGTGAGAAGCAAATAATCAGGATTTAGTGACTGACTTGTCAGGCCAGGAGGGCTGTGGCTTATTCCCTCCTTTAGGAGTTGTGGATACTGAGCAGCAGGTTGGATTTGGAAGTGCCGCCTTCCCATCCGACTCAGCTTTGCCTCATAAACGCTCCTTTAGCTGGATTTGTTCTGAAGGGTTTTGTTTTCATGCCTTGTCCCTCCCAGGGGAACACGGAGAGAACAGTCTGGCAGTACCACTTCAGGACCTGGCCCGACCACGGCGTTCCCAGTGATCCTGGCGGTGTCCTGGACTTCCTGGAGGAGGTGCACCACAAGCAGGAGAGCATTCCTGATGCCGGGCCAGTCGTGGTCCACTGCAGGTGAGGTGATGGGCTGAGCTTCTGCTGCTGCTCCTCTCTTTGGCCTGGGGAGCTGAAACCTCTAAAAAAGGATAACTTTCCCTCGGAACTGCTTGGAATTCCATCTGTCCAGGTGTTTTTGCTTTCTGCTTTGCACAGTGTCATGTTCTGAATGGGTGTCACATGAAGCAGTTGACTTTCAGAGTGAGCTTGTTTGTATAAATAAGGATTTCTGGTGTTGAAGGAGAAGGTGGAACCTTGGCTGGAGCATTTCAGGTGTGGGATCAGGGAAATTCTAGTATCCCATCCCATCTGGGAGGGCTCTCCTCAGTCTGGGCTTATAAATGAGAGACTTTTTATAAGGCAAGGAAATCTTAGATCTGACCTTATGTTTTTTTTTTTTTCTGATTCAGGGATGTTTAAAAGTGCTGAGGTACAAAAGTGCTAATGAATTCTGTCTCTTCCATGTCAGACTGATGAGGTCTCTGGTCACTTTTGGCTGTGTGGTTTAACTCTGGCTATAATTTGGAAGCCTAATATGAGACTCTTCCTTGGGCTGGTGTTTTGGGGTCTGTTCAGAAAGAGCAGAACAAATAACTTCTTTTTTTCTCTTTTTCCAGTGCTGGGATTGGACGAACAGGAACGTTCATTGTGATTGATATTCTTATTGACATCATCAGAGAAAAAGGTGGGTTGCCCCTTTTATTTTCCTGTGGGACTTTGACAGAAACATCAGATAAAACCACAGGAGTGTTGACAGAGGATTCCAGTGATTTACAACCTTGGTGTGTTTATTTTCCTTTTTTAATGTTGTGATGATTCTCCCCAGGTGTGGACTGTGATATTGATGTTCCAAAGACCATCCAGATGGTGAGATCCCAGAGGTCAGGAATGGTGCAGACAGAGGCCCAGTACAGGTTTATTTACATGGCAGTGCAGCACTACATCGAAACCCTCCAGCGCAGGATCGAGGAGGAGCAGGTCTGTTTGTCCTGAATATCAAATTGTTTACTATAATAAATATAAAATTGCATTTCAACAGGGAGCAGAGTTGCTCGTTTGCTGCCTGTGATTTTTTGGAGGCTTGGCTGCTGACTTTATAACCAATGTGTGGTGGAAAGGCTGGGTCTGAACCTGGGAACCCTCTTCTATATTTCAGTTCATTGTGCTTAAGAATGACTTAAGTTATTAGGTGGAATCCTCTCCTTAAATTACTAAATGGAATCCTCTGCTATCCTCCCTGTCCCCAGCCCCTGCACCCAGATCTCTAATTTCCTTAATGTTATCTAATTTCTTGTGCAAGAAGAATAAAAGATAAAGGTCTGTTAATTAATACAGAACCTTGTGATCTGTTGTGTTTTAAAGAGATTTCAAATCTGTTAACTGTGTTTCTAAGACAGGATAATCAAATGCTGGTCACTCTAATTCCAATTTTGGAGTTTATTAGTAAGAAACCAGTACCTTGGACTGAAAGGTTAAGGGATGAGTGATGATTTTGCAGTGCAGTGTCCAACAAAAAGCAGTTACAGGAGTGATTTGGTGTGATAAGATGGGAAAGGCTTTGGAATAAGTGGTGACAACCACAAGACCTTCACCTCACCCTTCCTGTTAAAGTAATTCCTTCACTCAAATTACACAGTGTTTTACAGGAGTTACCTGGTTTGGAATAAAGAACTGACATTATTCTGTCTCTGTTCTGTGCCCTGACCTCTGGTCATCTGGGATTTTTACCTTTTTGTTTCAGAATTTCAATATCTTTGTCTCTGCTGCTGCTTTGCTGCTCAGGAGATAAACTCCCAGCCCGGCTTAGTGCCAGTGTGAGGTGTTAATCCCAGCTCAGGGCTGGAGTGTCCCAGCCCAGCCTTGGCTCTCTGGAGTGTGGCAGAGCTGAAGTTGTGTTTCCCTACATGATTATTTGCCCTGTTCACTGAGAGGATGGAGCCTTGATTGCTCTCCCCAGGACACTTTTGTGTGCTCTGGTGGTGATTAGACACAAAGTGAAGAACAAGAAATCCCTCAGGTGGATTTTTTTCTGTGGCTTTGTTGTCTGCCCTCTGCTTGGAGCTGCCTGGTGTCTGTGTGTGTGTGTAGTTCCACAAGCTCTGCATCCTCAGCTTTTGAGCCCCTTTCTGCTGTAGCAGTTACAAAGCAGAGCTTTAACTCTGCCTTTTTTGCTGTGATGAGGTTTGAGTGGTGTTTGGGTATCAAGTGGAGCAGTGATGAGGCTCTGTTGTGGTTCATCCATTACCAACTCAGAAGGCTCAGGTATTTAAGGAACTGGAAATAAAACATTGCTTTACTTCTGGAGGTCTTGACCTATAACTGGTGGCAGGAACAAAACAACGTAAAATTCTCAGCCCAAAGCAAAGCTTGTGGTATCTGCAGGAATGTGGTGAACTGGGAATGCTCCAGAGCACGTTTTGAGAGAGCACAGAAGAAATGTCTCATTGATAGAATGCTGGAATTTCACCCATTTGGGAATGAAACACTGTGTTTTGAGAAACTTGAATTTCTGGAACCTTCTTCTCTACACTTGCTTTAATTGCAAAGAGTGAAAACTGGGGAAAACCCAACAATTAGAGCCCCTTTGTAGGGACCAGCATGGAGTCCTGTTCCCCCTCTGCTTCCCATCTGGATGAGCTCAGGCAGGTCTGAAAAGGAATTGGGAAGTCACATTACCTGTCATGTCCTGGAGAATTTACAACCAGCTGGATCTGTGAGGAGCTGCATCCCTCCCCAGAGATATTCCTGCTTTTCCTTAGTGTTCAGGACAGACCTTCCCTGCTCTGCCAACCTTGCAATGCTGAGAGCCTTCAGTTTTCCTGGAGTTAAGTGCTGTGTTAAATATTGCCTGTCTTCCCACAGGCATAGTAGAAAAACAAAGGGAATTTGGTTTAGGTTTGGGTTTTTTTCCCTGTGAAAACGTGTATATTCTCTTCCATCCAGGAAACAAGTTCTTACCACATTTCTGTTACTCTGAATTAGGAAGGATGATTACAGTGAATTAAGTGGAAGGAAGAGAAGCCAGATATCTACTTTTTCTTGGCTTTTTTTTCTCTGTTTCAGTCAGTTTAAGGAATAGAAGATCTGACAGGTTCTTTTTAAATTGCTTTTACTGCCCAGCACACCTGTAGTTGAACTGCCCTTTATTGTGCAGTTTGGGTAGAAATCCAGCCCTACTTTGGGGCTCCAGAGTATTTTTGGCATTATATATGGTTTGTAGCCATAACACTGTAAAATCCAGGGAGTTTGAACCTTTGCTGTTTCTTTAAATGCTATTTTTTAGCAGGCAATCAATCAGGACTTGGGAGTCTGTTTGAAAGTGAGAAAAAGCAGAGAGGGGAGAAGTTCAGTGAAACACTAGAACAAATTGATCAAGTTCTGAGCATGTTTCAGAAGAGCATCTTGGAAAAGCTTCAACCTGCATTGCCATAGGAATGTTCTTAATGGGAATTCAGGAGCCAGAACTCCCGGGAGGCTCCGACAGCCTCTGCTGTCATGAGATTGGGCCAGGCCAGTTATTCAGGACTTAGTGGAGCAGTAAAGGAACTCAAATCCACACAAAAAATCAAACCCAGTACCCTGTAAAGCTTTAATTCCCATGCTGTAGTATATTCATGTTGTGAATATTTGTGTGGAAAAGGAAAGCTCCACATCCCCTCCCTTTCCCAGCGTAGTTCCCGTGTGGAGCGTCGGGATCTGGAGCTCAGTGCCAGCACAATTGGCTGCAGCCTGGAGCATATGCTGCACCATCCAAATAACAGCTTGGCTGCTTTTTATATCAAACCTAATGGGCTCAGGTATTATTTTATTAGAGATCCTGCAAACAGCATTGTTACTCCGTTGGCCACATCTCCAAGCTGGAAATGAGGTCAGTGGGGAGCCCACTGGCTGCTAAAGAATGAAAGTGGGGTTTCTTCTGCCAAGGAAGATGAAGATTGAGTACAAGTGCTGGTTCATAGGGTTGGGATGTTGTGGTGGAAAGGGGAATGTGGAAAAATGAGGATTTTCAGGTCTTGTAATCCATAGTTCAAGCCAACCTTTAGGTCTTCTCCATGTTTGCGTATCTGCAAACTCAGCTGTCTCCTCACAAACCTTCCCTCTAAAACCATCCTTGCTTAGTTACTCATGTAATTGCTTCACTGCTTCAATGACTGTTTTCCATGATTAATTCCAAACCTGGCTTTTTGGTGTGTTTTGCTTCACAGAAGAGCAAGAGGAAAGGTCACGAGTACACAAACATTAAATATTCTTTATCGGACCAGACGAGTGGGGATCAGAGCCCTCTCCCACCCTGCACCCCGACCCCAACCTGTCCAGAGTAAGTTCATTTCTGCTCTCATGTGGAAGTTTTGAGCTCTACTGATTCATCAGGGACCTCAAATGAGCCTGAGCTCTCCCAGAACCTGCCCTGGGCTGTTGCCTTGGGCTTTGCTCTGAAAACAAATTGAGCAAAATAATTGTCACTGAATTACATAGTGTGGGCAATACATTTATTTCCTCAGACTGGATTCTCGGGACTCTAAATCTTTGTTTCATTTCAGAATGAGAGAAGATAGTGCTAGAGTATATGAAAATGTGGGGCTGATGCAACAGCAGAAGAGTTTCAGATGAGAAGATGTTCAGAGCCTCCCATGCCAAGGCAGGTGTGTATGGTCAGCGTGGGGGGGTGTCCAGCCTGGACTTTGGGGAAAATACACACAATAATGCCCAAAATGCTTCTAATTTATCCCTGCCTAAATTCCAGAAGCTAATTTCTATTTAATTTTAATAATCTCACCTTCTACTGCCAAGGCCTCACACAGATTCTAAGCCAGGTTTGAGACTTTGGGTTTAGTTTAAGCCTTTTTCGAGTCAAAATTGAGCACTTCTGTATAATGTCAGAATAAGAAATAACTGCTGGGTTTTTCCTAAATAATTCTTTTTTTTTTTTTCCTTTCCCAGAAATTAATCTGGTTTTTAAAAAGGTCAAGAAAGAGATGGAAGAAGCTTCACATGAACAGTGAACTCTGAGGGCTTGGTACCTTTTTATTTACGGTTTTAATCCTTCAACAGTAGGCAAAACTTCAGACCATCTAAAGATTGGTTTTTATCTCTTCTCTCCAATACCTGATTTGCTCGTTTTCCAAATAAAAGGAAATCCCTTCTACAATGTAGACAGCTACTTTGTAGAATCAGTTTTGAATCCTGCAAACTGTTGGACTGTCATCCATGTGTTTTTTAAATAGTATTTTTGTTTCACAGTATGGTTATTAGTGGGGTTTTTTTTCCTTATTTGAGCAGTTGTGGGGTTTTTTGGGGGGGGAGGGGCTGGGGGGGGTGGGTGAGGGGAGAGCAATGACGTGGATAAATCCGTTACACTAATGTAAAATATTGATGGGAACAATACTTGATTGTTGGGAAACAGTGGATCACCAGCGGGAATGAATCAACTGCATGATCAAATTAGTCCTGATACATTTCAAACTCAGACTGAGCTTCCTGGGGTGAGCAGTTATTGATATGAAGGTGCTTTTTGTGATAACTGGTGGCTTGATTCTGACTTAGCTGAGTGGCTGGATGGGCTGTTTTTGAGTAATTCTTGCTTTTACATCAAAATTTCTTTTCCATGATCTCTCCACCCAGAGTAGAAAGTTGCTGTTTCTCTCAGGAGACCTGAGTGGTTTGTGAGGACACTGTCTGTGTTAATTAGTCTGTGTTCATCTATTAAACAAGAGACTGAACTTGTAGAGTTAAGATAGTTTAAAAAGTTGCATGATGATACCTTGGCAGCACATTAAACCAGTGAAACCAGTAACCCAGTGTTCCCTTGGGGTCAGTACCCCCTTCCCTTCTGCAGGGGAGGTGGGAGCTGGGCAGCCTTCTGGATTTTTAGGAAGGCTTTGTGCTGGTTTAAAAGGCTAAACTGCAGTTGTGTGGGGAAGGCAGTGCACGGAAGAATCCTCTGGAATTGCCTTAGTGGGACAGGGCAGCAGGAACAGCAGCGAGGCCACGCCGGGTGTCACCAGGCAGGACTTTGTCACCCTCCCACCCCAAGTGCCTTTTGGAGCTGCCTGGAACTTGCTGTCCCCATTAAAAATCACGTTAATCTGAAACCACTTCTGATTGTCAATGAGCCAAAAGCCTCTTTAGAGACTCCAGAAGGAAGGTCTGCTGAGCTGCCACTTGTTTGGGTTCCTTCACTTCGCCCTGTCCAGTTCCCTGGACCAGCAGTCCCCTTGGAACCCAAGGAGTGGGGACTGGTGTGTCACCAGCACCTTTCCCATGGTTTTGGGGGAGTTCTGTGACTTTAGGGGTGTTCAGGAATGATTTCCATTTCCATGCACAGGGTGACACTGCACAAACTGCTGTGTGCAGGGAAACAGGGCCGATGGAATTGTGTTATTGGCCTTCCTGGCGGAATTCTGCTGAAGCCTGGAATGTAATTAATACAGCTTTGTGAAAGGTTAAGTGTGAGATTACATTACCTTTTCCTGAGAGTGCTTTGCAAATTCAAATATTTGAACAGTTTGTTTGAACTGAATGAAGGTGCTTCGTTAATGTTAAGCAGAATTTTGTTACTTTGCCTCTTGTCCTTTTTGTCTTTCGGGGCTTTGGGATTTATTTTTGGAACTCCTGTCACCAGCATACCATAAGATGTGTTTTACTGGCATAGCCTTATACTCTAGTCATAAATACTTGTGCCCTTTCTAGGTCTGAACATATGATAATGAGAGAGGAACCTGTTAATTTTGGTGGGAGATGCCTGTCCTCCATCACCTCCTTCCTCTGTGTCCCTATTTCCAGCTGCCTCCTGCTGAACAGGGATCAGACAGAAGTGCTGGTATTTGTAGAGAGCAATTAAATATTTGCCTCAAACTTGGTGCAGAGTTAGACAAATGCTGCACTTCATAGGTTAGAGCTAGGTGGGACCCAGGCTTGGGTTTGGAGCTGCTCTGCTCCAAACTGGGAAGTCAGGAGAAGGGAGAGAAGGATCCTGAGGCAATCTCCACTGGCTGAACTCAGTTCACGTGTTGTGTCTTAAAAGATTGACCTGTGTAAGCAGCAATCAGTTTATGGCCAACATGAAGTTGCCTCATGACCTCATTTGAGCTGTTTAGGGGTTTATTTTGAATTTTTTGTCTTTAGAAGCAGGGAATTCTTGCTGCAGAATGTGTATTAATCCTGGGGAGCATATGGTGGGAGAATGTCAGCGAGGGGGGAGCAGAATCTGAAAGGTTGGGAATAAATAAATTCTCCTCTCTGCCCTGGAGTGTTGGGCCCTGGTGACACCAGAGGGGAGACCATAAAATGCACCAGAAAATCTGTCCCCTTCCCCACACCAGTGAGAGATGGAGAGTTCTTAAAGGAAAATAATTAAGAAATTAAGCCTAATTAAGAGAAATAATTTAAATTATTTTAAGCAAATAAATTTCAAGCTGGGCTTTCTGGCAGATGAAGCAACAAAGAGCAATGTCCTTTGGTTCAGGGGGTATCAGTGAATGTGGGTTTCGTGTATTTCTAGTGAGGTTTTTAGAGAATTCCATTTTAAGCATTGATTTCCAAGCCTGTTCTGTACCAATAAATGGAAAAGGGATGCAGGGCTGAAGTGTTCTCTTGGAGAAGACTTTATTCCACAAGGGAAATTTACCCCAACTCCTAAGGCACAATAATTTATGCCAGCATGAATTTGCTGCAAACTTCATTTACTGAATGTTTTAGAGCATAAACTTTAATTTCAGCTAACTGTTGTTAGGCCTGATTGGTTCTCCTATTAATCCTGACCAAACTTTACTTTTCCCTCTTAAAATATGTGTTGGAAACACAATTAACTAGGACACAGCTAACAAAGATACAAAACCTGTTTCCTTTTTTTGTTGTAGGGATGAGAGAATTCACAGCTGGTACTAGAATGTGTTGTCAGGTTTTGATTTTTCTACCCATAACTTCATTATTGCAAATTAATTTGTAATTTCTCCCTTTTAAATAGTGAAACATAATTAATAATTTCAAGCCTGTTTATTTATGACATTATTGTGATTTTTTTTTATTACAGTACTAAAGACTAATGAAAAAGGATCCTCTTATTAGGTGGAGTAGACCTTACATTTATTTTTTTTTCCTGCAATGTATGAAGTATTGTACCAGAGTATTAAATGAAATGTAATATTTTATTGAAAAATTTCTATCCTTTAAAAGGAATACATTTAGGATGTCATCAATTTGATGTGAATCATGTAAATGTTGATAATGAGCTGTTTATTCTCCATCTGGTGTTTCAAAAGACTCACTTCTTGCCTTTTGCCCACGTACAGTCTGTAGATCATTTACCATTGTCAAAATGTGACATTAAAATAATAGTTCCTGTATAGAAATATTGGTGGTTGTCCATTGTTTTCTGGGCTGGTATTTATGGGATTTAGTTCAGCTGCAGTGGGATTTTTTTTTTATTGCTGCCAAGCTGTATTATGAGAAATAAAACATATCTGTAAACAGCAGAAATTAAAAAAAAAAAAAGGAGAAAAAAGAAATAATTAAAAAAAAGAAATAAAAATCATTTTCTTAAGCTGGTTTGTCAGTTCCTGTGTTCTCCAGCTGCAGGCACAAGGGATGTGGTGTTTGGATTTTCTAGCCTGGATCAGTGCTGGGAGTGGAGCCCCCACGGGAGGAGAAGCTGCAGGAGAGCAGCTGGGTTTCCTGAGAGCCACTGGAGCAAAAGTCCTGTGAAATAGGATGTGCTTGAGCTTTTCTCTCCATGTTCCTCCATCTTCTGCCAGCCCCGGGAGGTTCTCCAGGTACAGCCCTCCCTGTCCTGGGAGCCCTGGGAGTGTCCAGCCCTGTCAGGGGTGTCCCTGCTCCCTCCTGGTCCTGCTCCACCTTCACATCTGTCACCTTCCTCCCTTTCCTTGCTTTGGAGCTGGATGTGGAACATGATGTGGAACATGATGTGGAACATGATGTGGAACA